TGCATGTTAAAGAAGTAAAATATGTATAGAGTTATAAGCCTTACTCATGTCCTGTGAGAGAAGCTACAACTCTTTGTTTTGTGTTTGAACTTCTTGAAAGATGTTAGTGAGTATGTGAATTGGTAGTGTAGCAGATGAATATAAGAAGTACAACGAAGTTTTGTAGATTGAGTATTGGGTAGTGGCTCATGATTTGATTCAGGCAGTGGGTAATAATTTTTGTAAATATTTTACGAGTATGTTCAAGTAAAGTGATAGGCCTAGTATAGTTAAGTTGACTAGAGAATACTGGTTTTTTGAATATTAAGTAAATTTTGCTATATTTTCAAGCTTTTGGTATCTGTAAGGATTTAAATTATTTGTTAAATAGCATGGTGAGAATCTTAGTAACTTGTAGGCATATATGTTTTAATATTTCATTAGATATGAGAGATGGTTCAACTGCTTTGTTGTTTGGTGAATTGTTGATAGTATTAGTTATTACTTATGCTGTAATTGGTTGGTTGAAGTTTTTATACCAGATAGATATAATGTGTTTCTGTGGCTTATATTCTGACTTCCAGGTTTCCCATGCTTGTATATCGTATAGGTTGAATTTGGTTCAGTTTGCAAAGTGGTTTCTGATATAGTCACGAATCTGTGTTGGCTCAGTAATTACAAAGTTTAAAAGTGAAATATTTTAGAAAATCACAGAATTAGTATGTCTATTGATAATGCTATTGATCATGATAGTTGTGTTAGTTGAAAAGTTATTATTGTATTTTTGTATCTGAGTATTAATATGTTGAGTAAATGCTTGTTTATTTTCTATTTCTCTTGTATGATATAAGGTTTTCCTTAATGTTTTGAAGATATTAATAGTTAATTCAATTTATTGGCTATTGATACTTTGTGTTGTAAGTGCAGTTGTTGGATGATTAGTAAGCTGTTGTATAGTTTGTAATTTTTGGTTGATAGTACTAAGAATTTGTTAAATATCCTCAGAGTTTCTGTATTGTTGAGATTGTAATTTAACTAGTTTTTGTAATATGCTACTACATAGGCTTAAGACTATATAAAATTTTGTTGCTATTACAGAAAATGTTTTGAATTGTCTTTGGGATTTGAATGTGAAAGGTATATGTAATTTGGCTGCTTTGGTTATAGCATTGTTGATTTGGTGTCAGAGTTGGTCTATTGAGAGTATTTGTATAATATCATTTGTTAATGATGAGATAAAATTTTGTATTGCCTGTCAAAATTTATCCCAGCTGTCTGTAATCATTGTATCATATTTGTAAACTTTGAACTTATATTTTTTCCTCCTTGAGAGTGAAGTGAAGTTATATTGTATATTAGAGAGATTATGCAGTGATCACTATTAGTAATACCAGTAACAGATATTAAAGAAAGTTGTGTAGTAATGTGCCACAGTTGGTGTGAAATCTATATTTCATCTATTTGGCTGGATAAGTTAGCTCGCTACCAAGTGAGCATAGATGGATGGTAGGTATGTACTAAAGATATGTAGTTGTGGGTTAGTAGGTAGCTGTAGAACATTGATCTGTGTGTTCTGTTTAGATCCTGGTTAAAGTCTCCTATAATAATAGATATGATTTGAACCTGTGATCCACTGGATGATTTGGTCTTGTGTTTTGGTATTAGTTGCAGTGTGTGCTAGGAGATAAGCTGAGATAATGCAAACTTTGTTGTTGTGTGGAAAGAACAAATCAATTGCAATTGCTATAACCTTGGGTGAACAAGTTTACTTAGAGACCAGAGATATGTTTATTTAGTATAATTTAGTATTATTCACCTTGAAAGTTTTTCTTCTTTAGTTCTGGTTTTGGTAAAGGTGATCTATGGAAAGAATTTTTATTTTAAAGCTTTTTTTAAAACTGATTGTTATTTTTAGATTATAAAAAATGTTTTTTTTTTTAAATTGAAATTGGTTTTAGAATAACCTCTTAGTATATTGCAGATCATTTCTAAATCGCATAAAATACCTGACTGTAGTACATGTTTTCGAGTTGATGGAAGGTCAACAGATTAAAAAGTATGCTAAGCAGGGATATGCCGGAATCAGACCACCATCCAAACTGGTTAGTGGTTAGATTATCCGAATTAAGCAAACAGATAAGCTAGCGGCACGTGAAGAAGCACATGCTTTCAGATAAGTATAATTCAATCAATTGCTCAATTCGAAATTATTGGAAGATTACTTATAACTTTGTTGATTGAATATAATGATTAGTTACCATAAATAGTGTCCCATTAAAAGCAAGAAGTGAGATTCGCAAGATGAACAGACCAAACTCTGTTAGGTATTCCCAAGTACAAAAGGTATTTATGGATCCAAGAAAGCAACAGAAACAGCTAAAGCACTGGGTGGTCAAAAAAAAAAAATTTGCAAACCCTAAGTTGGATTCGAAATATGAATGGATGTATGATGATACAGCAGCCCAAGCAGCGAAGGTATCGATAATGCGATGTACAATAATTATAAACCAACAAGCCAAATTACATTGAGGACGCACAGAACATACAAACCAAAGCAATAATATTCAAAATGAATGATGCAGTTTCCACAAACCACAAAGGCACAGTCCAGACAGCACAATAATTAACAGTATCATGAATAAAATACCATTTAGCGAACAAGTGACGAGATTGTTGAGCATAAGAAGCACCTGCAGAATTAAACAAATCATCCAGACAACCCACTCTCATTGAGATAGCACGATGCAACTTACCGTAAAATTGTGTAGTAAGATACGAATAATTACTTGTACATTAAATAAATCAATAATGATCGGGAGTCAATGCATTAATAATCTTAGGGTAACCTATCATACGATAGGTAGATATGAACATTCTCCTTTAAACGTAAACGGATCATTATAGATCGATGTAAATGGATCATTAAAGAGCGACCAAAATAATGTAAACATTAAGAAGATGTGAAGTAATTCATTAAATGATGAATAAATATGCAGAAAACATATGTCACTGTTGGCCAGATACTTGCCTCTAGATAAATGTTCCACTTGCAAATCTAAGCAGTCGGTAACATTGTATCAAAATGGTGCAGAAGCACTAAGAGGTTGGAGATAGGGTTGTTAATGGGTTGGGTTGGGTTGACCCAATCATCAACCCACTCCACTAAATTAGACTTACTCCAATGCTTTACTCCGGGTTGCTCCATAGTACTCCGGGTTGCTCCAGGTTGCTCCAAATTTAAAGGCATAATTTTAAACCCACTCCAACTTGGGCTGGGTTCTACTCCGGAGTGCTCCGGAGTAAGCTACTCCATTAATAACCCTAGTTGGAGAGAAACTTATCGAATGTCAGAGTAAACAAGATACTAGCATAGCGATAGATATTTCAAGTTATAATCATGAGAATTTATTTCGCCCAATAATGTAGCAAGTAGTAATGATTATATTCATTCAATAGAACAATGTTTTAATCAATCACAACAACGATTTAATCAATAACAAGCCCTTTGTCCAGACCATTCAAATTTGATTTCCGAAATCATACTACGATAAATAAATGCGAGAGAACATTAGCTGGTTTGAATCAACTATTAGAAATTAATCCAAATAATGCAGATGTATTAAGTTATCGTGGTGTAATGAGCAGGTACGAAGAATCACTGGCAAATCTAAATAAATCATTAGAAATTGATCCAAATAGTGCATTTGCGTTGGTAATTCGTGGAGAAATTTATCGCATAACGAATAGATATGAGGAATCACTAGCAGATTTAAATAAGTCTTTAGAAATTGATCCAATTAATATATCGGCGTTAGCAATTCGCGGAATAACTTATCATATAATGAGCAGACACGAAGAATTATTAGCAGATTTAAATAAATCATTAGAAATTGATCCAAATGATGCATCTGCATTGAGGCAGCGTGGAGAGGCTTATCGCATGATGAATAGATACGAAGAATCACTAGCGGATTTAAATAAATCATTAGAAATCAGACCAGAATAATTCACGCGCACTGGATAAATACGAATAATTACTAACAGATTTAAATAAGTCATTAAAAAACTAATCCAAATGATGCAAGCGCACTAAATGAACGTGGATTATTGGATTATCTTATGATCAACAGATATGAAGAATCACTAGCAGATTTAAACGAATCATTAAAAATCAATCCAAATAATGCATTTGCATTAGCATACCGTGGTGCAAAATATTTTATGATGAACAGATAGAAGGAATCACTAGCAGATCTAAATAAATCTTTAGAAATTAATTTAAATAATTCTTTTGCGTTAACATACCGTGGTGCAACATATTTTAAGATGAATAAATACGAAGAATCACTAGCAGATTTGAATAAATCGTTAGAAATTAATTTAAATAATGATTTTGCATTAAAAAATCGTGGTGCAATGTATTCTAAGATGAACAAATATGAAGAATCGCTGGCCGATTTAAATAAATTATAGGCATTAAACTGAACAATGCAGACGCATTAAGGGAGCGTGGAGCGACTTATCGCATGATGAACAAATACGAAGAATCATTAGAATATTTAAATAAATCATTAGAAATTAATGCAAATCACGTATTTACATTAGCAGGTCGTGGAGTAACTTATAGGATGATGAACAGATTCAAAGAATCACTAGCAGGTCTAAATAAATCATTAGAAATGAATTCAGTTAATGCAATAATATTAGCAGAGCGTGGAGTAACTTATCGCAAGATGAACAGAAATGAAGAATCACTAGCTGATTTGAACAAATCATTAGAAATTAACTCAAATAATGCAATTATATTAGCAGAGCGTGGTGCAACTTATTGCAACATTAACAGACATAAAGAATCACTGGCTGATTTAGATAAATCATTAAAAAATTACTTCTGGTAACGCATTCGCATTAGCAAGCCGTGGAAAAGTTTATCGTATGATGGACAGATATGAACAATTACTAGCAAATTTAAACAAATCATTAGAAATTAATCCAAATAATGCAGACACATTAAATGAATGCAGAACAACTAATCGAATGATGAACAGATATAAAGAATCACTAGCAGATTTAAATAAATCATTTCAAATAATGCAGACGCATTAAATGAACGCGTAACAACTTATCGAATGATAAACAGATATGAAGAATCACTAGCAAATTTGAATAAATTATTAGAGATTAATCCAAATTTTACTGAAGATTTAAATAAATCATTAGACATTAATGATGCATTTGCATTAGAAAATCGTGGAGTAACTTACCTTATAATGAAAAACTGCAAAGAATCATTAAAAATTAATCCTAATAATGCGTCCACATTAAGATCCCGCGGTGTAGCTTTTTACCTGATGAACAAATACAAAGAGTCACTAACGGATTTAAATCATTAGAAATTAATCCAGATAATGCATTTACATTAGCAAACCGTGGAGAAACTTACCGCATGATGAACAGATATGAAGAATCGCCAGCCGATTTAAATAAATCATTAGAAATTAATCCAAGTAATGCATTTATATTATCAAACCGTGGAGTGACTTATCGCATGATGAATAGATACGAAGATTGAAATCAACAACTTATCGAATGCAAAAGAAATAGGAAGAATCGTTTAGAGATCCAAACAATCATCAGCAATTGATCCGGATAATATTCTTGCATCAAGAAAGTGAAATACAATATCAGATAAGAGTGAGTCACCAGCAGATTTAAGTAAAACATTATAAATCGACCCGACAATGCATTCGTTAGAAACTCAGAGAAACTTACCATATAATATGCAAATACGATGAATCAATTGCAAAGTTTAAATAGATTACGAAAAAAAAAAAAAAAAACAACTATCAAGCAATAGATGCTGGCCACTAAGAACTGAGTCATAAAGACTCAAAATTTTGTGCGGGATCGGCATTGTGTTGCATACAGCTACCATGGAGCCAAAGAATAGATAGACGGTATCAAACGCATTATAACAGTGTTAGCCTATGACCTGTTATGACCTTATAGGCTATGACCTTATGACCTGTTATGTCTTATAAAATTTACTATTATATTATGACCACCTTGGTCATATAAAGTTGAATACGACCCAAATGGCCAACACTGCATTATATAGATACAGATGAACGCAACCTGCAGACGCAGCATAAATCTTGAGCGAAGTACTGTATATTCTGGTTAACGATCGTCATATAAACTTTGGAACCCGATCGTCACCAGAATTATTAACG